ATGTGATCCTAGGATGTGCTGTATACACTAGCTCCAGTTAGGCTAGGAAAAATAACACTGACAGAGCTTCATCTGACAATGTCTGTTTTGTTCTGAAATGTTCAGGAAAGACTTGTTCAGACGTGAAAAATGGAGTACCTGGGTATGAGTTAATTGCATGAGTGCAGATAGAGTCACTGTGGCAAGCTTGATTTGCACTAACAGATATTCAGAGGTCTAAGGAGCCCAGCATGAAAACACCTGGGATGTCCTGGGCTGCCAACTTTGCACTTTCAGGGCCTGGGGTTGTGTGGACTAAACTTTCTCTTGGGCTGATAGATAAAGCTGGCTCTACATGAAGGTGTCAGTAGCATTTCTGGACCCACACGGAAGTGACTGCATGCCACTGTGCTACACTATGCAGACACTGGTTTGGGTCTCTGGTAGAGCTGGGATTTGTATGCTGCAGTCCATAGGAAAGGTATTTCACAGAATATTCTGAGTTGGAAGGGACCCACAAGGATGGTTGAGTCCAGCTCTTAAATAAATGGCCCATATAGGGATTGAACCCACAACACAACCTTAGCACCATGCTGTAACCAACTGAGCTAATCTCTCAGATGTTCCTAAAGGTGTTCCACTTAGTCATATGGATGATCCTCATCAAAGCAAATGAATGATTTAATGAATCCGGTTCAGTAGAGATGAGTGTGATTATAAAATCAGGTTGGAGGTAGTATGGGATTTGAAGTGGGAGGTTCAAGCTCTGCTCATATCACTTTAACTGCAGCCATAGGGTGACTTCTGCCTGACTGTCTGGTGCTCAACATGCAATTGAACCCATGGGCGGATGGTTGATGAACTCATTAATTCTCTGATTGCCTGACATTTTTTAATTTTCCTTTCACTTCTTACCTCCAAGCAGAGATTGACTGTGAAATCAACTGTAAGACTGAAGTCGTTCCTGTGCCTTATCTTTCCTGCAAGAAGCCACTTGCTGTGGTGCATCTCAGCTGGGCTCTACTTCTCACTTCGTTACACTCTTCATATTTTCTTAACACTCTCTGTTTTGGTGTTTCCCTTTCATTAACTACTTGTCTCTTCTCTCTTTCCTGTTTTGGCTCTCTTTATGTGATTACTCACTCTCTTTTTCTGATCTTGTTCCAGCTTCCAGTTTAAACTGTTCTAAGCTATCTTCTCCACCTTTTCTCTCTTCTGAATTTTCCTGGAGCTCCCCTCACCCCAAATATATTTACTTTCTTTCACTTTTATCACTTTCTTTCTGTGGTTGTAAATACCGCTGCCATTTGTTTAAATGCTGATGTCGGGCTCTCTCTAGGGGCTGTCATACAGGATTTTAGACAAACTTTCCCTTCATGACACAGTTTACCTGTTACCATTGGTATGGCTAGAAGGCTTATTACAAAAATGAAAATATCGAGGAGGAGTCCATTTTGTATATCACAAAACACTTGTTATTTCATTGCTAATAGCAGTTTTGGGAGCTCTTTAAATCAAAAGTTGAACTGGGAATGTTATCAAAGAATCTAATAAAAAGGAAAAACTGTCACCTCTGAATTTTGAAAAAGTAAACCAAAAAAGGAAAAGTTATTTCCAGTAGAATATATTGTTTGCAGAAATAAGACCAATCTGGCAATTTTTCGTCTTCATCTGTCTTTATAACTGCCAACTGAAATATTCGCAAGGAAAACCAAAGATTGATATCAAATAATTGCTGGTAGGTGGAATTTTCTGGCCTTCTGAAAAAATATCGGCTATTTCAAGGGTACTACATATTGGCTGTTTGTAATTTTGTGAGAGCACCCGTCCTTGTTATCTACCGTGTGCAAAGCAGTTATATGAACTTCTGTAGTCATACTAATTACATCATATTTGAGGTGTTGGTGGGGTGTGAGGCAAGGTCTCCATTTGTACCACGTGGCTTTTCACTTGTTGGTAATTAGTAGCAAAGGCACTTCAGGAACCAGCCTGGGTCTCTCTGCAGAGAGACAAAATATCTATAACTGTATCTGCAGGTTTAGCATTTGCCTTAGACAACTTGGCAAGTATTTTGGCTGTAGGAAAGCTTGCGTCTTAGGAAATATACTATATTAAGGCTCTGCTGAGTTTTGTTTATAGGGTTTCTGGAATGTTTCAGACTCCCAAACTCAACTGTTTTCCCTGCCTGTTTCGCTGAAAACATTGTCAGGTTTGAATTTGAGTCCCTACCAATTTAATAAAGGGCAGCTTCCCTGGTGAGAGTTTTATCCATGATTCCCAATGTGATCACATCTGAGGTGCCTGGGGTGGGCAAAAAAGATCTAGGGAGGAACCCCAAACCCACTGTGGCCATCTTTTGTAGGGGCTGAGTGAGGAGTTGGATGTTTTAACAGTATGGAAGCTCTGTTTGAATCACAGAATCATGGAATTCATTGAGTTGGAAGGGACCTTAAAGATCATCTAGTTCCAAACCCCTGCTGTGGGCAGGGACACCTATTGCTAGACCAGGTTGCTCAGAGCTCCATCCAGCCAGGCCTTGAAGTATGGGCCCTCCCTTTCAAGAATGTGGCTTCCATAACTTCTCTGGGCAACCTGTTCCAGTGCCTCAGCATCCTCTCAGTAAAGAAATTTTCCCTAATATCTACAGATCACAGAATATGCTGAGTTGGAAGGGACCCACAAGGATCACTGACTCCAACCCTTAGCCCTGCACAGGATCATCTTAAAGAGTCACACCATGAGCCCAAGAGTATCACTTCTTGATCTCTGTCAGGATTGGTGCTGTGACCACTTCCCTGGGGAGCCTGTTCCAGGACCCAACCACCCTCTGGATGAAGAACCTTTTTCTAATATCCAGCCTAAAGCTCCCCTGACACAACTTCAGTCCATTCCTTTGGGTCCTGTCACTGGTCACCACAGAGAAGAGATCAGTGCCTGCCCCGCCTCTTCTTCTCATGAGGAAGTTGTAACTGCAATGAGGTCTCCTCTGAGTCTTCTCTTCTCCAGACTAAAGAGACCAAGTGACCTCAGCTGCTCCTCATAAGGCTTCCCCTCAAGGCCCTTTACCATCTTTGTTGCCCTCCTTTGGATGCTCTCTAACAGCTTAATACCTTTCTTAAATTATGGTGACCAAAACTAATCTAAGCCTACTCTTTCTCAGCTTGAATCCATTTCTTGTTGTCGTTTCACTACATGCTCTTGTAAAAAGTCTCTCCATATTTCTTGTGAGCTCTTTTCAGGTACTGGAAGGCTTCAATTAGGTCACCTCAAAGCCTTCTCTTTCCAGGCTGAACAAAACCAATTGTCTTAGCCTTTCCTCACAGGAAGTGATGCTTGTTTGATTATGGAAAACCAGTTTGAAGTAAGCCAAACTAAAAGGCAGGTTGCATATTTATTTTTTAATTGCTTATTTCTATTTATTTACTTATCTATTAATAATTAATTATTTTTCTGTGAAACATGAGAGGGTCTAAGTGGTAGCATGTAGCAGAATAAGGGAAGAACAAACCCAAGCTCGCACACAACTTGTACTGTAGCTCCTGGCACTGTTTGAGTTCACTGGAAACATTGGGGACCCTTTCTTCATGATGGGAAATGGTACTTCTGTTTAAAGTAAACCAAACTGGTGCTAATGACAGCTCTTTCAGACATTTGAATGCCAGGTCTCTTGCAGTCTTCACAGGAACTTTATTTCAACAAAACTGTTATGTTTCATGTGACTTGTAGCATGATATAAAAGCTAGATACTTGAAAGCCTGTGTTTGGGATTCCTCTGCTGGTTTCCACGTCAATTACAATTATGTTGCATTTGAGCTAGAGGTTGCCAGCAGAGAATACTGAGGAGTGCCAAATTAAATTTCAAATACATTTTGTTCTTTGCTCATGTTGAGAAATATTTCTCCCCTGAGGTTGTCGTGCTCAGCAAATGATATCAGGTTGCCATTAAACTTTCTGTAAATAACAGTCTAGTTGAATTTTTAAGGCCATCTTAGTGGCTAGCACTATTGACACCTCCTTGGAGGGCTGGTGTAACATGAATGTCGTGAGTATTGGTCTGAAAAAAAAAAAAAGAAAAAAAGAAAACCTGGAAAAACCTTCCTTTCATCTAAACAATCTCCGGTCTGGTCCACCATCTTGATATCTGGCTGCTTTGTAGAGAGGTGTCTCTAGGAAATGGGGAAGTTGCTTATTTTTAGCATATGTATTTGTCAAGGCCCTTCTTTCCAATAAAGATTGCCAAAATGAGACAATGCAAATTATAGCAAAATGAAAGGGAAAACTCTGAATGACTTTTGCTGACCTGCTAGTGACCAGTGCTTCACCAACAAGCAAATGTTTTTAATTCTTTTTCATATTAGAATAGCTGCTTCCCAAATTCAGATTTTGGGTTCTTGAGCATGGTATAGATAACCTCTAGCAGCGTGTGCAAGTCCTATCTCTGTGCCTATTTTGCATTTCAAGCAATTAGCTTAATTTATATTGGGAGCAGACACTAATTGGAGGGGGAGGAAAAGGTAGGTAGCAACACGCCAATGACAATTAAGATAAAGCATCACGTATTACATCTATAACTTTTCATGAAAGAAGCTCTTTTCTGATGTCACTGAACCCTAATAAGAATTTGAATCCTTGCAAGGTGGACAATATAGAATTATCTACTTAATATGAATTGGTAAGCTGAAACATGAAGTCTATCTTTTGCTTAGGTTTACAAAGCCAGAGGTCAGCAAAGAAGAGGGAAGTTCAGACCTGTCAGGATCCTTGATTCTCTGACAAGTTTCTAGAAGATGAGCAATAGTTACAGAACTTCCTGTGGCAAAACTCATCCAGTGACATCAGTGATGTATGTTGGGGATTTGATGTACAGGCTGGAAAACAGCTAAAAATCTCCATGTTTTCTCTGGAATGAATATAATTGCCCATTCTGCCAGTAGCTAATTATGTCTGACCTGCTTTAGATGGAGTCCCACTTTTTACAGCCTAACCAACCTTTTTGTTTCCTGTCTGTCATTGATTTCCAGAATGCAACAGCAACAACAACAACGTCGGATGTTCACAGCTGCCCTGCTGGCACTTGTTTTCCTTCTGGCAGCTGTGAGTACCACTGAGGCTGGGAAAAAAGAGAAACCAGGTAAGGTCCAGTGGAATTCAGAGTTAATCTCCAAGATAGATTGCACGTGTGGGAGAATGTCAAATGCTTCTAATTTTGTTATGAAATTCAGGTAATTTGTTAACCTTTTGACATCCAGGATAGGGATTTGTGGCTGTGATGTGTTGTTCTGTGTTAAACAGGAAACCAGAAAGTGGTTTCCATGCAGGCTGGCAGCTTGACAACCCCACAGACTGGAGTCCTTGGTTTATCACACAGTGGGTATTGCAAGGCAGCTTAAAATTTGCTCTGGGAATAGTTTCATGCTTGACTTAGGGAGGATCAAACAGGAGTGATGAAAGAGCAGTTATGTTGCTTGTTCAGTGTTGTATATGACAATAGTACACCAATGCTGTGTGATGTGGAAATCCTCTGACAAAGAATTGAACTAACTTGCTATTGCACAGCCAGCCAGACATCCAGTGGTAATTGCTTTCTGTCAGTGATGAACTCAGACCTCGTTATAGGAGAGACAGACCTGGGGTGAAAAATTCATATCTGTTGAAGCCAGTTCTGACATTTTTTAAAGAACATTTTTTTTTTTTTTTGGTGTTTTTCTTAAGGTCTTATTATTTACAGTGTACTTACACTCAAGATAAAATGAACTGTGAGTCTATCACAATTAGTGTTCCCTATAAAAAAAAAGGGGCTTTCTAACCACTGTGGCTGTATGGAAATATGAGAAAATGTGAATGCAAACATACAAAACTTAGAATGAAAATAATTTAAGTTTATTTAAAGTTACTTGTGATGTTTTGGGGGCCTAAATAGTGGCAATTATCTCTTTACTCAAGGCTTGGGTTTAAAGGATTGAAATGAAATCATGATCCTTTCTTTTGTCACTGAGCAATAAACCCACCTGTACTAACAGCACTTGAAATATGTTTCTCCATACAGGGCTTTTTATATTTGCCTTTGGAGTTTTGGTTTATTTATTTATTTATTAATTCTGACATTAAATGTGACATGATATACCAAGTCAAAAGTTTGAATCGCACAGCTGTTTCCCAGAGGTACTCAAATCCTCTGATAAACAGTGTCTACACATTTCTAGTTGTTTAGTGTATAGTGCTTCAGTTGGAACTGAGAATATTTGCCTGCCATTGGCTACTGGAGACAGAGGAGTGTCCTTTCTGAGTTTCTGTCCTTCTGCCTGTTTGGTCAGTGTTCCTTGAGAGTTTTTAGGTGATTCCCTATTCTGACATGGTAGTGGGAGTGAATTTGAATGATCACCCTGCTTTGGACTCAAAGAGGCTGACCTGTCTCTGCAGAACTGGGAAGAGGATGTCAGACTTTTTTTAAAGCAACTGTGTTACAAATGTCTTCCTTATTCACCCTTTAAGGTGCTGTGACACTTTGGTTAAGTTTAGGGAACATCTCCACAGGCTCTGGGTACTGACCGCTTCTCTTACTTGGCTCCTTGTCTTCATCCAGAGAAAAAGGCAAAGAAGTCTGACTGTGGGGAATGGCAGTGGAGTGTCTGTGTCCCCACCAGTGGTGACTGTGGTCTGGGCACACGTGAGGGCACTCGCACTGGAGCTGAGTGCAAACAAACCACCAAGACTCAGAAGTGTAAGATTCCCTGCAACTGGAAGAAGCAATTTGGAGGTAAGCATCGCTCCCATAAGGGATCTGCTTTGTTTTTTATTTTAAGAATGGAGCAGGAAGCCTGTATTTTCTGCTTAGTTCTGCAAATGTCTTGGTGCAGAGGTTAGTCCTGTATTTCAAGTTCATCAGAGCTAGAACACATAAGGCATCAGAAGACAGCCTCTTCAGAGCTCCTCTGTACAGAGTCCATATAACTTACTTATTATAAACTCAGCCTTCTAGTATGCTGAAATCTGCCCTCCTGTGGTGTCCAACCCTATTTAAGGCAGTAGTGTAAGTTCATAGCTGTGAATCTCTGCAATGGTTACCACAGGCTTTATGTGACTTTGTAATGCATGATATGAGCCTCACTACCAGAGTGTGCAGGACCGAATGAAAACCAGTGCATTTCTTCTTTATCATTCAGTTCAGAAGATTCATATGCAACAGTTTAGAAAGACACGTCAGATCTGTCATGGATAAGACGTCTGTCCAAGAGTCAAATTTGATTATGCTTGCAACCTTGGTTTTTTTTCTAGTAAGCAACCTGGGTGATTTTGACATTATTGTGACCTTACCAACACAATTGGTGCTGAAGTTTCAGACCTGAGAAGTTTTTAGTTGCATATACATTTTTGAAACTCTTCAAGCCTTATTTGGTAACATTTGGCATCATACAAATGTTGGAATATAGAATGTAGATGATGTTCCCATTGCTATTGTTTTTTTCCTTGGTTTTTGTTTTGTTTTTTTTTTTTTTTTGTTTATTGTTCATATTCACAGCTGAATATATTTTCTTTTATATGAAAAAAAATCCAATATCCATGCAAAAGCAAGAGGATTAAATTTTAGAACATTGGGAAGAGGGAAGACTGCAATTACCTCTGCAAAATAATCTTTAAATTTTTCTCGGGATTCTTTTCCTCAGCTGCATACCCTTTTTTCTATACATACTGACTGTCTGTGACATCCTATTAGACTGGTAACATTTTTGTTTTCCCAAATTGTGTTTTAAATTTGTCATTTGTTTTAAAAATTGCCCTTTATTTACTCATTGCAGCTGAGTGCAAATACCAGTTCCAGGCCTGGGGAGAATGTGACTTGAACACTGCCCTGAAGACTCGAACCGGAAACCTAAAGAGAGCTCTTCATAATGCTGACTGCCAGAAGACTGTCACAATCTCAAAGCCCTGTGGGAAACTTACCAAACCCAAACCTCAAGGTAAATTCCATTTTCTGAAAGCTGCATGCTAGTTCATTTAAATCCCTGGATTTTTGGTGTCCTGCATGCTTCACGGGGAACTCAGTTGTACAGGAGATTACACTTTCATGGTCCTTGCTCGGTTTTGCACTGCTCCCATCTCTCAGTGGTCAGGCAGACAATATTCCCGAGCTGTGTAGTCAAGGCTGTCTCACACACACACGATGTAAGCTGAAGATTAGAGCTCCAATTTTAACTTTAGACCACCTGTACCGCTACTACTTTGCTTATGTGACTAGACTGCCAGACTGCAGATTGTTTTCATAGCTGTTGATGGAAAAGACCAATAATAGCATGAAAATAATATACCTTGATAAAGACATCTTTTATATGGGTTTTGTTTGGTATCAATTAATGACTAGTTGAAAAAAGAACCTCTTTCCTTCTGGGCAGGATGCATTGAAAAGGTATTCTGCTCCCTGCACTCTGAAATATGTACATGTTGTGCACCCTTGGGCTTGTTTATTCTTTATTCAAATATAGCAGGAAGGAGAGTACAGAAAGTATATGTCTTATTTAAATGTGACTGACAATATAATTCCTAGTACACATAAAGACATATGCCCTGCATTTGTGTTTCCAGGTGTCCCTTAGAAAAACTTGTATTCTTTCTAATCATTAAGGCCTTTTAATGTACTCTTTTGTTGGAGTAGCAGGTGTTATGTGCGTGGGATGATTCATAGTGGGAGCTAAAACTGTGAGATCTTGTTTGAGATACAAAAATAATGTGTTTTAAGTGGATTATACAAGCTAAGCAACCCTGACATTTGTTTGCTTAAAACTAGCAAGGTTTAACACACTCCATGCTCTGAGTACTTGGATAGTAATACAAATAAATTTGATTAAGTGTGACAGGTGCACCTGGGACAAGTAACTTTCAAATTGTGGATGGTGGTGCACCACTGATCTGAGGAGCACCTGCAGGTGGCCTGCTCTGCTTGTACATCCGGGGAGATGTTTGATGAGGCTACAGGTGCTTTCTGTGCGTGTTTTTCCATCTGCTTCGCAGTCAGTGTGGCTGTAACTGCTTTTCCTTGCATACCATCCATGGAGTTATCAGATGAGTCTGGAACCTGCCTAGATAGTGACAGGTTGTGAAGCAGAAGGATTACAACTAGCTTTTTAGAGATCAGCTGACTTGGTTGAGATGGGGGTCAAAGTGGTTGGGTGGGAATGCAGGGAGGGCTTTGAGATTTTATTGAGTAACAGTTTTTTGGGGGAAGTACTTTTTTTCCATGTTTTTGTGGTTTGGATTGTTTTCTTGAAAGTTTTTAATTTGTTGTTGTTTAGGTTTTTTGTTTGTTTGTTGATTGTGGTTTTTTGTTTTGTATGGTTTTCTTGGTTTGGTTTTTGCTTGTTTGTTTGGGGGTTTTGTATGGTTTTTTGGGGTTTATTTGGGGTTTTTTGTTTTTTTTTTTTAGTAAGTTTGCATGCCTGCGTAGCATTTGGGAGTTTATTGAAGCTTCCTAGTGTGCTGCCTGAAGGCCTCTGCCACTTGAGCCACCAGTAGCCCTCTGCCTTGTCCTGCTCCCGCTGAGTCAGTTTATTCTATCAATGGTCACCAGAAGAGGGGAGAGGGACGCAAAGCAGAGCGTTGGTGCAGCATTGTTTTGTGAAAGCAGTGCTGTTGGCCCGTACAGACTTGCTTTCAAGTTATACTGGGTCGGAGTTAACTTTAATTGATTCTAGAAATCACTGAGCTGAGTGAAATCACTATAGCTGAGACTGAAGCTCAGGTTGGGATGGCTGCAGCAAAGAGGTATGGGGTTTTACTTAATTAGGAAACCTGACTTCATTTGATTTGAAGGAATGCAAAAGGAGACATAGGTGTAAATGTAGGGGTTTGGTCATAACAACTGTGAGCAGGAGTTCCGCTCTCCCAATTTGCTTTAGAAATCTCACGGCATCATCCTGCATGCCACCTGCTCCTTCATCTGCTGTTGGCATTAGTAGGAGCAGCAGGCATGGAAGTCACACACACACAGAGCCTGCCTGGGCTCTGGGCTAAGCCCATATTGCAGATATGTGGGTATAACTACATAAAAGCTACAGTGGTCAGTATGTTGGCACCAAAAGGAGGAACTAGAGTAAGAAATTGGGTCAAGCATATTAGTACTGTGTGAAATGTTTTGCCCTACTAGACTTTATTTCTGACCGCTGACATGTTGGCTGGAATGAGTGTATTTGTTTTCTTCCTGAGGTGAAGAAAATTACAAGTTGGAGGTAAGTCTTTACCCACAATTAGATAAAGGAAAAATATCAAACTGCATTCAATCTATAGCCAGAATTTTAATGAGTTTACTTCTTTGGAGATGAGAAGTAAGAACTGGATTATTGCCTGAGTGCTTAGAATGGACTGCAGGTATATATTAGGGTCCCTTTTCACACATAGCTTTGCATTAGTGTCTCAAGACTACAAGAGAAAAAGCTTATGATATATTATTTGGAAGCAGAAGGGTTGTTTTCTGAGGCACAGTGTTGCAAAAGGTCTGTGTTGATAAGCAGCTACATCTGTAAACACAGGTCAAGGGTCATCAGTTCCTACTGTGATTGCCTAGGGTAGCAGGACAGTGGTTTCCTGACATTTGAGAGCTCTGGCAACAGAGCACTAAGTTGGGCTTATCAGTTCCAGGAATCTGTTTTACCACTGGATGGTTATCTTTCTGTCTGTATGCTTTGAGAGCTACACCAATGAATACATCTCTGACAGCAACAGGTTGGGAGTACCAAAAGTAGATGTGAACTGACTGAGAATATTGCTCTGAAAAATACTGACTTATTCGGAAAAAGTGTTGTTTTTATGATTTTCCTGACTAGACTCCTTTCCTGTGCACTGAAATCTTCCTTTTATTAACTTGTGTTTGTAACCTCTCCATGATATCACTTTTCCTTTTGATTTCGTACTGAAAATGAGTTGAATAAAACCCACATTTAGCTTATCCAGTCAATGGGAGTTATATACGTCTTCTGTTAGTTTTTGTCACTTGCCATCTTTTCAAGCTAAAACCTCTGACTTAGGTATTTCTTTGTATAACAATTTATCCACATAAGAATACCCACTACTTGACTTACCTAAATTTCTTCTATTGTTGCAAAATAATTTTTGTGATGAAGAGGCTGGACTGCACACAATATTTCAAACATGTCCTCTACAGATCTGTGTTGAAAAAGAAAATATCATTGTAATACTACCTTTATTGTTCATTATACCCACTAAATATTTTAACTATGATTTAAATTTTGTTCACTGCTCGCATGTGAAGTAAACATCTTTATCTAAGACCTTCACAATTCTCCCTAACTCTTAAATTTTTTTAAAAGTTAATTAATGTGATTAGTTAAGAACCCAGAAGGTGTGTGGTAAGACAGGTTATTTTTGTTTAGGCCTGACCAATGAAGTGTGGCACATCAAATTTGACCTGACGCACCTGCTTGATGTGACTTGGTGCCTGAAGCTCCTCCTCACATTTTCTGTTCTTTGAGAAAATTGCAAATAAATAGATATTTACTGTAGATACTGCCTTACTGTTGGTTATCCATCTTTCCAGCTCACGAGCATATGGCAACTTTGCTGGTAGCATGAATCGTATGTCTCTTTCCTCTCACTTAAAGATTTCAAAAATGACTGCTGTTTATAAGATTTTCATCTGTTCTTAACGGAAAGGAAAATTATACCTGCAGAAAAATGCTAAGGGTTATAATTTTGCAGATTTGTTGATAAAAGTATTGTTTGGTTTTCTTGGAAATTTTATGAGCTGTGACAAAATTTGTGCTAAATTAAACCAGGAGATACTCATGAACTTTGGGTATCAGTGCCTTCTTCATAAACTGGTGACCCAAGTGTTCTTATGGATTTGTCTTATTGTTAGTCAGCTTCCATTGAATAACATTTAAGTCTTTTTGAAACACTCCTCATTATTTTGGAAAATAAATAAGGAACAAAGATATTTTTTTCTTACACTTGCTCCATGACAGTAATTTTTTTCTTCTGAACATCTGATTTCTATAGATTATTGTCTGTGACACTTGGACATTTTGGACTCCAGTGCAGTATGTTGAATTTAAGGGTGAGAGCAGATGATGAACCAGGAATCTGAATTTTATCTGGCTTTCTGATGAGCTCTTTTCTCCATAACTCTGTTCAGGTTGGAAGACAGAACTTGGTCCTGGGCTGCTGTGCTAAAGTGTAGCTAACACAGAATGAAAAACATCTTTTGCTCTTGAATATTGCGCCTTTGGACAGAGAGATTGTCAGCAAAGTGACAGTGATATCCCAGACACCATGGTTTGTGTATTTAGTGTACAAATGAGGTCATCAGAAAGCTTGTCACAAAGTCTGGATGGGATGAAAGGATTATTTTTATCACAAAATCCCAGTGGAGGCAACCACCTCTCTTCTAGCACACAACAATTGCATATTCTAATTGGCATCTGCAAGGCCAGAGATGTTCAGGGTCTCCCTAAACTTGTCTTGACAGATGTGAAAGTCTTGGGTACTTCTGTCAAGTGGCTGCTCTAATGGTCAACTTGCACTGAAGGGCACAAAGCACTTCTGACATACTCCATCTGTCCTACTTCATGGCCACCCAAACTTTGATTAATGGTTGTTCGGGTTCCAACCACCTAGAAAGCAGAAGAATGGAGTATTGTTGGGATTCAGGAAACATTTTGCTTTAGCTGCTAACAGAGGAGGAATTTATTTTCGTTGAGCTGGGTTGCCTGATAGGCTTTATTTCTTTTTACACTCATTCTGTGTCTCTCGTTCTTTCTCTCTCTCTCCATAAGTCTTGTACTTTTAGATATTTATTCTTCTGATTAAGATAAAATTAAATAGAATAGACTGTCTGTCTGCCCTTTCTGCAATGTACCCTTTATTTTTTGAATTATGCTCTTTTCTGGTAAGTTTTTCATCTTCCTATATTTAGTTCTTTTTAATAAATCTCCCTTCACAACTTTTTATC